CAGAGCTGTGCTACAGCTAGCTTTTTAAAAAAATCTCAGTAATGTGTTGTGTGGGCCAGGTGTTGTGGCTCATGCCTGTAACCCCAGCACTTTGGGGGCCAGGGTGGGCAGATCACCTGAGGTCAGGAGTTCAAGACCAATCTGGCCAACATGGCAAAACCGCATCTCCACCAAAAATACAAAAATTAGCTGGATGCTGTGGTGCGCACCTGTAATTTCAGCTACTCAGATGGCTGAGGCAGGAGGATTGCTTGAACCCAGGAGGTGGAGGTTGTGGTGAGCCGTGATTGTGCCATCGCTCTCTAGCCTGGGAAAGAGAGTGAGCCTCTGTCTCAAAAAATAAAATAAAAATAATATGTTGTGTGAACAGTTTTTCCATTTTCATAGAGATCAACTACATTCTTTTTAATGGCTGCATGGTGTTTATTCTACTTTTGTCAGACATGGAGCAGCTTCCTATTTTTTTTCCTATTATGAATAAAGCATATCAAATGTCCTTGTACATTTATGACTGATAGAAGACTTTTATGAGTATCCTGTTATTTGAGGGATACTTTCCTAGAAGTGGAGTCACATTCCAGATACTGACAGACCTGCCAAATTGATCAATGACGGACTATACAAAGACAAAAGCAATGTAAATATGTCTAATTTGAACAACCTCTTGGAGTTCAGACTACCTCCTGTCACAATATACCATGCTTGAGAAATGATCCAGGGACCCCACTGTTACTGTAGTTACAGTTCTCCAGGTGAACAGAGACTCAGAGGTGTTAAAGAAAAAAAATATTCAATAACGCTTGTTAAAGCATGGTAAGGCAGTCTTTATTCAGGACCACTCCGATAGCTAGATGGCCCACTGCAATGGAATTTCTGGTGGGGAAGAGAGATTGGGTTCAGCTCCAAAGATGGTGAGGGTAAGTGTGGATTTACAGCCAAGGATGGAAAAAGTAAGAGTAAACATCAGGAGTAAGGGGGATTCTGCTCAACTGACCTAAAATGTCTGTGTCAGTGTCTTCCTCCTGAAGACAGATCATGGTGATCAAACATTCTCTTGATCAGCAAAGAATGAGGAATCCAGTCAGATATGCAGGGTGGGGAATCTTGCCAAAATGACTCAGGGTTCTTTGCCAAAACTGGATCTTGCAAGGAAGTACAGATGTGCCTAAAAGGAGATCCAGGAGCCTGACAAAAGTCTGGTCAATCAGAGAATCTTTGTCAGAGGTCGAGACCATTGGTCTTTAAAAGAGTTAGATCAAGCAACGATGAGATTTTCCTCAATGTGAGAAGGCCACTGTGACTGATTTCTGTCACTCAAGATTCAGATTTTCCTTTCTCTTTTTTTTTTTTTTTGAGACGGAGTCTCACCGTGTCACCCAGGCTGGAGTACAATGGCGTGATCTCGACTCACTCCAACCTCCGCCTGCCAGGTTCAAGTGATTCTCCTGCCTCTGCTTCACAGGTGGCTGGGATTACCAGCATGCACCATCATGCCCGGCCAATTTTTGTATTTTTAGTAGAGACGGGGTTTCACCATGTTCACCACCAGGCTGGCCTCGAACTCCTGACCTCAGGTGATCTGCCCACCTCAGCCTCCCAAAATGCTGGGATTACAGCCATGAGCCACTGCACCTGGCGTCAAGGTTCAGATTTTTAAGGAGACTCAGATCCAACGCCCCCTCCTGCATTCACACAGCCTATAAGATTGTTGTCCTGTCTCCAGCTGGACATTAAACCAGGAGACTTAGATTATTCTCTTATAGGTTGTGCCCCCTGGGGTCTTCCCTTTTTAATCTTTGGAGCTCAGGCATTTTGTAAAATTTTATCCTGTATGGCTAAAATATTTAGATATTTTTGTAACTGAAGATTTTCTAGGTTATCCTGTCCTCAATATAGCCAGAAAAGGAAATCTGTGTTCTTTCTCCTAAATTAAAATGTCACTTTGTCCTTACTAAATTCCTGAATCTTCCTGAATCTGTTTCTGGCATACTCTATTCCAGAATATTCTATTCCAGAATGACCATTCTTATAGTTCTTTATACGCACAGCCATGGCGCTTTAAGAAAGGCCATTTACCTTTCTATCAGTAATTATTTGCAAACCTTGGGAATTATTTTCTAAAAAAATCTTTGCCAAATTGATTGATGGAGGAAAAATGGTATCCAAGTGCTACTGTTATCTCTGTTAACTGTGTCCCCTCTATATTAGCAAGGGTGGTCATGTTTCGTGTTTTTTTGCTCTTCCCATTTTGTGAATTGTCTGTTCATGTCTCTCACCTTTCTGTCTACAGGGGGACTCATCTTTTTCTTAGCTAAGACTTTGGCCTAGGAAGCCACTGCAAGGCAACAAGACAGCTGTTTTGAGATCACTGGCCCAGTTTCCTCTGTGTCAACCTGACCGGCTGAGACTCAGGTTTACAGATCAAAGAACAGCAAGCAGCACAGAATTTTGGCAGGTTGTCCTGCAAATAGGGCCGCTGACGCAGAATCTGCAGGGGCGAGGGGTGTGTGAAGGGGACAAGGGCTGCTGTACCAGAAGGTCATCACCATGGACACACCCTCGACTCCACTTTGGCAGCTGACAACCAAATCTAAATCAGAAGGAAAAACATGCAAAGCAAATATACTTTGGTCATGCCTCCTTCTGTAGCGAATGTTTTCCACAATAGAAAGCAGACAGTGGGAACATGAGAGGACCCAAGTCTACTTAGGATGCTTTCCTGATACCAGATAAATTTTACAGAGCAGTCAGGACCCAGTAAACTGTAGAAACACTCACTTTTTTTTTTTTTTTCTGAGATGGAGTTTCATTCTTGTTGCCCAGTCTGGAGTGCAATGGTACAATCTTGGCTCCCTGCAAGCTGCACCTCTTGGGTTCAAGCAGTTCTCCTGCCGTAGCCTCCCGAGTAGCTGAGATTGTAGGCACCCGCCACCACGCC